AGCGACGTTGAATCACCCTTTTGCTGCCCCGCTTCTTGCGGATGACACCGTCGCTCGGCCCGGAGGGCCCGCCGCGGCCGCCGCCGCCGCCGCGGTCGTAGTCGCGGCCGCCGCCGCCGCGGTCGTAGTCGCGGCCGCCGCCGCGGTCGTAGTCGCGGCGGTCGTCGCGGCGGTCGTCGCGGTAGCCGCCGCCGCGGTCGTAGCCGCCGCCGCCGCCGCCGCCGCGGCGGTCGTCGCGGTAGTCGTCGCGGTAGCCGCCGCCGCCGCCGCCGTAGCCGCCGCCGCCGCCGCCGCCGTAGTGGCCGCCGCCGCCGCCGCCGTTGCCGTAGCCGCCGAACTCGCGGTAGCCGCCGCCGCCGCCGCCGCCGCCGCCGCCGCCGGTTCCGGATTCGCGGTCGAAGCGGACGACCAAGGGCCGGCCCTCGAGCGACCGGTTGTTCCAGCGGTCGATGGAGTTCTCCGCCGCCGACGGCTCGGAGAACTCGACGATGCCGAAGCCCCGGCTCCGGCCCGTGGCCTGGTCGGCCTTGACGATGCAGTCGGTGATGCGCCCAAAGGACGCGAAGTGGTCCCGGAGCTGGTCCGTCGTCATCGTGTAGGGCAGGTTGCCCACGTAGAGGCGGCTCGCGCCGTTGAAGGGCCGCCGGTGCAGGTTGCCCGGCGCGACGTCGCGGGACCCGTCCATGGGGTAGCCGCGGTCGCCGCCGCCGCGGCGGTCGTCGCGGTAGCTGTCGTCAGATTCGTCGCTGTAGCGGCGCTTCTTCTTCTTCTTCTTGCGCCGGTCGCGCGACTCGTCGCTGTCGCTGTCGTAGGACTTCTTCTTCTTCGACTTCTTCCGCCGGCGGTCCCGGTCCTCGCTCTCGCTGTCGCTGCCGCGGTCGGCCTTCTTCTTTTTCGACTTCTTGCGGTCGCGGTCCCGGTCCTCGTCGTCGCTCTCGTCGTCGTCGCCGTAGGACTTCTTCCGCTCGCGCTTCTCGTCCTCCTCGCTCTCGTCGTCGCTGCGGGCCATGGTGCACGCGGCGGCGGCGGTGCTGCTGCTGCCGGCGCGCACGACGACGCGCTCGATCTTGAGCGAGTCGACTGTCGGCCGGCTCCACTCGACACTTGCCGCGGCGCCGCGGCGCCGGCGCGCGGCGCCGGCGGTCGACGTCGCCGGGCGGCGCCGCACGCCGTCGGCGCACTCGTCACTTCACTCGTCGGCGCCGTCCTCCCGACGCGACAGCCGGGCGCCCGCGAAGCAGTTACCGCTTCTTCTTCTTCGCGGGCTTGGCGGCGTCCTTCCTCGCGCGCGCCTCCGCGGCCGCCTGCGGGTCCTCGTCGGCCATCCACGCGCGCTCGACGCCCTCCATCGCCAGGCACCGGTCCGCCTCGACGAGCCGCTCCTCCTCCAGGAGCCGCGCGGCCTCGATGCGCCGGAGCCGGTCCTCCTCGTCGCGCTCCAGCTGGTACTTGGCCGCGCGGAACGCGAGGTCCGCGTGGACCTTGTCCGCGAGGTTCTTCGCGCTCCGCATGTCCGCCTCCTCCACGGCGTACATCTCCTTCATGTCGCGCACGTAGGAGTCGTGCTTGCGCTTGCGCATCTCGAGGATCGCGCGCCGCTTCGACCGGCCCGTCGTCTCGAGGTCCTTGAGCTCCGACTTCCGCCGGCCCAGGATCCCCTGCGGCGACACGTCGTAGACGCGGTGCATGTTCTTGTCGTCGACGCCCAGGAGATGCAAGGCGTCCAACCCCCGCTCGACCTCGCGCGAGATGTCGTTGAGCTCGAGCTCGTCCAGAACCTCCGCGACGGCGCGCGGCGCCTGCTCGTCGGGCTCCGGCATTTTCAGCCCCCGCTCCGTCAGCAGCAATCGTTTCGCCTTGAGGCAGTCGCGCTTGCCCTCGGGGAACTGGCCCAACGCGCAGCGCGCCTTGGCGCGGAGCGCGAGCGACGGCGCGTGCGCGGGCCGCAGCGCGAGCGCGTCGTCGAGGTCGTAGATCGCCTGCCGCGCGTCGTCGAGCTCGTAGGCCGCCAGCCCCCGCAGGTAGTAGATCTCCACGGCCGCCGCGTCCGCGCGCCGGTGGGTCAGGTCGAGGTGCTCCGCCGCGTCGAGCGCCTTCTTCGCCTCCAGCAGCAGCTCCGCCGTCGCGGCGTCCGGCGGGTCCCGGTGCAGCGGCGATTTCTCTTCCCCGAGGTCGAAGTCCAGCTCCGCCGCCGACGGCGCCGCGGCGACGAACTTGGGCGCGTCGTCGTCGTCGTCGTCCTCCTCCTCCTCCTCCGCGGCGGCTTCCTCCTCCGCGCGCTTCCGGAGCTCCTCCTCCCGGCGCGCCTTGCGGTCCCGCTCCAACCGCTCGAACTTGTCGGCCTCGGCGAGGGCCCGCCGCTGCTTGGCGATGGACACGCGCGCGGCGCCGAGGTGCACGTGGTGCGATACCGTCGCCGCGTGGGGCTCGTCGACGACGAGGCGCGCGTGCGCGTCCGCGGCCGCGACGAGCGGCGCCACGGCCTCGGCGACGTCGCCGCGCTCGAGCTTCTCCGCGCCCTGGGACGCGCCCGTGAGCGTCGCCGCGCGGCGGTAGCGGCCCGCGGCCGCCGACGAGTCCTCGACGTCCGCCGGTTTGGGGGGGCGGAACGCGGCCGCGGACACGGAGAGGTGCGTCGCGCGCACCCGCAACCCGTCCACGAAGGGCGCCAGGGCCGCGTGGACCTCGGCGGCGCAGGGGTTGTGGGACAGCGTGAGCTTGCGGAGCCTGGGCAAGTCCGCGAACTCCGGCGGTAATTCTTCTAAATAGTTGTCGTGGAGCGTCAGCACCTCCAAAGCCTTCAACGTGGCGACCTCCGCGCGGCTCATGTCCGCCGTCTTCAGCCGGTTCTCGTGGAGGTGGAAGAACTTGAGCTCGCCCAGGCTCCGGATCTCCTTGGGCACGAACCAGAGCTTGTTCCGCGAAAGGTCGAGCCGCGTGAGCTTGCCGAGGCGGCAGAGCTTCTTCGGGAAGGCGGCGACGGCGTTGTCCGAGAAGTCGAGCTCCGTCAGCGACACGAGGGACGCCAGCAGGTCGCCGTCGATCTTGTCGAATTTGTTCGACCGGAGCACGAGCGCCTGCAACCGGAACCTGGGCGGGAAAAGGGTGATTCAAGTTCTCTTCAACATGAATGTTCCGCGCGCGCGCGTTCCGGAAAACGCATCCATGCTTCGAGACCGTTCCGAGAGATGATCGCTCGTCCAAAAATCAGCCGAAACGAGTGGAAAACGGCCGAGATCGGACCCTTTGAAGTTGGGCATGTCGCTCTCTTTTCCTGCCCTGGCCGGAACATGGAGCCGAAGCCCTTGGGGAGCTCCGCGAGCCGGTTCTTCGCAAACGTAAGACGCTCGCAGCTCCGGAGCTGCGTGATCTCCTTGGGCAGGCTCGCGAGCTCGTTGCCGTCGAGGTCGACCTGCTTCACGAAGCGCAGCTGCGCAATCTCAGCCGTGAGGCTCCGGAGCCCGTTTCGCGGCGCGGACAACAGCTTCAGCGCCCGGAGGCCCTTGAGCGCGTCGTCGAGCTTCTCGAGCCTGTTGCCGTCGAGGGGGAAGGCCACGAGGCCCCGCAGGCCCGCCAGATTCTTCGGCAGCGCCTTTACGGCGTTGTCGCGCGCGTCGAGCTCCGTGAGCGCCGTCATCTTCGCCAGATCCGCGGGGAACGCGGCGATGCGGTTGCCCGAGATGTCGAGCCTCGTGAGGGACGCGAGGCCGGCCCAGTCGCACTGCTTCGGGTCCGGCGCGCCGATCGCGACCTCGCCGGGCTTGACCGCCGCGGTCTTCTGCTCCTCGGACTGCGCGACGCGCACCGGCGCCATGTGCGCGAGGTCGTTCTTCGACAGGTCCAGCGTCTCCAAGTTCTTCAGCGAGTCGAGCTGGTTCGGCCACTTGGCGAGCTTGTTGCCCCGGAGCTTGAGCACGCGCAGCTCCTCTAATAGTCCGACGCCGACCTCCCAGACGCGCGTCTCCTGGAGGAGCGCCAGGTTGCCGACCTCCATGGGCAGCTCCACTAACACGTTCTCGCAGAGGTCGAGCTCCTCGAGCGCGCCGAGCTGCCAGAGGTGCGCGGGGAACCACGCGATGCGGTTCTTTGATGCTCTTAGAACTCGTAACTTGTCGAGGTCCTGGAGCTCGCGCGGGAACGTCCGCAGCCGGTTGCCCGACACGTCGAGCACCTCCAGGTTAAAGAGCCCGCCGAAGTCCTTCTGCAGGCGGCTCAGCCGGTTGTCCGACACGTCGAGCTCCGTGAGCGTCTCGATCGACAGCGCGCGGAACGTCACGCGCGGCAGCCCCAGCCCGCCGAGCTTCAGGATCGTCGCGCCGCGCGGGTCGTCCTCCGCCGCGTCCACGAGGCGCTGGGACTTCGACCGCGGCCACTCGCGCGGCATGAGCGACCTGGGCAGCAAAAGGGTGCGAAATTCCCAACTTCAAAGGGCTCCTATCTCGGTCGTTTTCCGCTCGTTTCGGCTGATTTTTGGACGAGCGATCATCTCTCGGAGCGCTCACGAAGCGTGGGCGCTGTTTCCGGAACGCGCGCGCGCGGAACATTCACGTTGAAGCGACGTTGAATCACCTTTTTGCTGCCCTGTGAGCGACGCGTCGTCCGAGTCGCCCCGCGAGTCGTCCTCCTCGCTGTCGTCGCCGTCGACGACGCTCTCCTCGTCGCTCTTCGCACCCGCCGACGCGTCGGAGAGCTCCGAGTCGGCGACCTCCGACCGGTCGTCCGCGAGGAGCCGCCCGTCGCCGCCCACGAGCCGCCCCTCGTCGATGTCCTGGCTGCCCAACACCAAAGGCTTCGACCAGGACGTCTCGCCCGTCTGCGCGTTGTAGTAGTAGTAGGTCCCCGTCTCCTCCTCGTAGACCTTGGAGAAGACCTTGGCGATGCGCCGCCGCACGACGCGCATGAACTTGAGCCGCCGCCACGCGCTCTGCACCAATATTGCGGCCTGCTCGTCCGTGAACGTCGGCGCGACGTCGTCGAGGTCGCGCCACATGAGGGGCGCGGGCCGCTTCCAGATGGCCTGGTCGTCGACGACGTTGTAGTAGTAGTAGCGCGCGCGCACGGGGTCGAAGATCTTCTCCCACTTCTCCGCGACCATGGCGTAGGCGACGTCGCGGGCGAACATGCGCCGCGCCATGGCCTGGACCTTCGTCGAGGCGGCGTCGGCCTCCTGCTTCGTGAGGGACATCTTTTGGTCGTGTTACTGTTGCTGCGCTTACGCTGCGGCTGCGCGCGCGGCGCCGCGCGGCGCCGCCGCTGCGGGCAGCCCACACCTCGTGCGAGCGCTCCAACGGAGGGGCAACCCGAGGGCAAGGTCGACTCGTTTGGCAGATTTACCCCCGGCGAGGCCCGCCGGCGAGCCCTCTCTCCGTCGGCGACTGCATAGGAGCTCCGCCCGCATCGACGAGCGCTGCCAGCAGTTTGACAAGGTGAGTTCGCGCGACATTACGCGGGACGACGGCGGAACGAACGCGCGGCGTCGCGGCGGTCAGAACGAGCCCTCGGACGACCGCTGCGGCGCCGTGCGCGACGAGCGGCCCCGCTGAGAGAGCGCTGCGACGCGGGCGACGCGCGCGCCCTCCCCGACCCACCCCGCGCGACCAATCGACCCCCACATCCCCGCCGCAGATGGCTACCCCGTTCGGCGAACTCGAGGGCGCGGCCAAGGAGGAGATGATCGTCGCGCTCGGCGCGCTCGTCCTGAACGAGTGCAAGGCCGAGGACGCGGAGGAGGCCGACTTCTCCGCGGAGAAGTTCGACGCCGTCATCAAGGCGAGCGGCAACTCCGTCGCGCCCTACTGGACGGCGGTCTTCTCCAAGGCCATGGCCCTCAAGAAGTCGACGGACGACTTCTGCGGCGCGCCGGGCTCCGGCGGCGGCGGCGGCGGCGGCGGCGGCGGCGGCGGCGGCGCGGCGGCCGCGGCCGTCGAGGAGAAGAAGGAGGAGGAAGAGGAGGAGGAGATCGACATGGGCGGCGGCATGGACATGTTCGGCGGCGAGGAGGGCGGCGGCGGCGGCGACGACTACTAGGCGCGCGCGTTCCCCCGGTCCCTCGCTCGCTAAGACACTCCCAAGCAGACTCGAGTGCGACCCGGCTGCCCGGGACCGACGCGCGCGATCGATGGTTACTGGAGGCGCCCGCCAAGGGCGCCTCGGGCGGCCTCAGGCGGCCTAGTAGAAGAAGTCCGAGCCCCGCGAGGCGCGCGACGAGTCGAGGTCGTAGCCGTAGGCGTGGTCGCGGTGGGCCTCGTGGTGCTCCTCGCCGAAGGAGCCGTCGCTGCCGGAGCGGGGCCGGGTCGGCGCGAGGTGGGCCGGCAGGAAGCTCGGCGGCGGGCGGCGCGCCGCGGGCCGCGCGAGGGGCCGGTGCGACCGGTGCTCGCGCGGCGGGCTCGCGGCCGCGCGGTCCTTGGCCTCCTTGTGCTTGCGCGCCGCGTCGCGGACGATCTCGATGAAGGACGGGTCGCCGCGGCCGCGGTAGAAGCGCTGGATCGTCGACGCGGCGACGAGCTTGTCGCCGTGGTCGCTGAAGTTGCCGACGCCCCAGGGCCCGCTCGTCGGCGTCGCCGCGCGGCCCTTGGCCTCGTCGGCCTTGCCGAGCTCCTCGAGGAGCGCGTTGCACTGCTCGAGGCGGTTCCGGTGCATCTTCCGGCAGGCCCTCGCGAAATCCGGGAACTCCGTCAGCAAATCGCGCATGTCGTCCACCGCCAGGCTGTTGAGCTCGCTCAGCGTCTCCGCGCGCGCGAAGGTCACGTGCGTGCAGCCGATGAGCGCCGCCTCGCCGAAGGCGTCGGCCTTGGTCTGCAACGTCTCGACGACGACGAACGACTTGTGGTTCGCGAGGAACTGGGCCAGCGTCCGCCGCCAGCCCGCGAGGCGGTCCGCGCTGGGCTCGTTCTGCTCCACGTCGCCGAGGATCGCCCGCTTCACGAGCGAGTCGCGCTTCCGGCTCATGCGCCGCAGCCGGTGGAAGACCTCGATGTTCCGCGGCACCGACAGCGCCACGGACCCGCGGCCGATGACGTAGGAGCACGTGCCCTCGCCGCCCGCCGCGAATAAGATCTCCGTCGGCAGCGCCACGCCGGACTTGAGGTTGTGCACGATGCCGAGGACGCACGTCGCGTGGAGCTTCCGGAAGAGGGGCACGGCGACGACCGTGTCCTGCTTGAGCGCGAGCTCGAGCTTCATCTTCAGGATGACGGGCAGCTCGCTGAGCTCCGGCGGGTCCCGCTGGGCCGCCGTGAAGGACCAGTTGTAGAAGTTGACGATCTCCCGCTGGAGGTCCTTGGTCACGTGGTGCTCGAAGAGGAACGTGCGCACGCGCCTGGGCAGGACAAGAGAGATTCAACGTCGCTTCAACGTGAGTGTTCCGCGCGCGCGCGTTCCGGAAAAAGCGTCCACGCTTCGAGACCGTTCCGAGAGATGATCGCTCGTCCAAAAATCAGCCGAAACGAGTGGAAAACGGCCGAGATCGGAGCCTTTGAAGTTGGGAATTTCGCGCTCTTGTCCTGCCCCGGCACGCGCTCGAGCTTCTGGCTCCGCTCGATGCCCGACGCGTCCAGCACGGACACGGCGGACGTGATGGCGCCGATGATCGACGCGTACATGAGCATGCCCCAGATCGTGACGACGACCGTGAACGCGACCTCGCCGTCCGTGCGCGGCAGGATGTCGCGGCCGATGCCCGTCGACACCTGCACGGCCCACCAGAAGGCCTGCGTGTACTGCTGCTTCAGGCCCCGGTCCAGGAAGCCCCCGTAGGGCGCCCAGCGCTGGAGGCAGTACTCGAAGCCCAGCTCGAAGCGGTTGATGCCCGGGTCGTCGTCGCGCTCCGACGGCGCGTAGACGTACTCCGGCGGCTCGCACCAGCCCTCGACGCGCGCGATGATCCAGTAGAAGCAGCCCACGAAGTGCCACGCGGCCAGCAGCGTCGCCGCGAGCCGCGCGAGCTGCACGACGCCGGGGTTGATCGTGCTGTTGGCCATGTTCGAATTCTTCGCGTACAGCTTCGCGACGCGCACGGCCTTGGTGTAGCGCAGCAGGCGGATGATGCGGATGAACTTGAAGTTGCCGCTGTCCGAGTCAAGAAATAAGAACACAATGTCCATGGGGAACGACGACATGACGTCGAGCGCGAACCACGACCGCAGGTACATGCGCGCGATCTCCGCGGGGTCCTTGATCAGCGTGCCGTTGTCGAGGCGCACGGCCGTGCGGAACGTCAACGCCACGTCCGTGATGAAGAGGATGTCGCACACCAGCTCGAACCAGACCCAGACGCCCTCGACTTGTAAAAACGCGTTCGCCTTGCACGTCGGCGCGAACGCGGACCGCAGCGGCATGACGACGACGCTGTTGAGGATTAATAAAATCACGAGCAGATCCCAGTTCATCTTGAAGGCGCTGTCCTCCTTGAAGAGGAAGACGGTCTTCATCTCCTCGTCGCCCGCGCCCTCGTCGCCGCGCGCGATGTTCGACGTGAACGACGACTTGAGGAACGTGTGGAGCACGCCGTGGCTCGGGTCGACCTCCGCCGCCGGGTCGACCTCCGCCGCGACCTCGGGCTTGCGCCGCGCGAGGTTCCGCACCGTGTGGGTGACCATGTCGAAGGACGACGTCGACCGCGACTTCTTGATGGGCTCGGGCGACTTCGTGGGCGACGCCCCGTCGAGGCGCGGGTCCGAGTCGAGCACGCCAATGAGCGACCCCAGGGAGTTGTTCCGCGGCGGCGACGCGGCGGTCCCGGGCGTGAGGAGGCTCGCGACCTCGGCGTCCGTCTCGACGGGCTTCGCGTCCGCCTGCCAGCCGCTCCCGCCCGCGTCCGCGGCCCACTCCCGGACGCTGCGGCCCCCGGCCTTGGCGGCCTCGGCGATGGACGGCCGCGTCTGCTGGAAGGGCGGCGCCGCGCCGTCGACGTCGCCGACGAGGCCGTCGTCGCGGAAACGCGCGCCCGCCGGGCCGAAGGCGTCGCGGCGCGCGCCGGGCCGCTCGTCCTTGAACTCCTCGGGCCGCTCGTCGACGAGCTCGCCGCCGGCGTCGATGGGGTCGCCGGCGTGGAGCGCGTCCACGAGGTCCGCGAGGTCCTCGGCGACGTCGCGGAGCAGGGCCGCGTGGGCCTGGGCCTCCTCCGGCGCCAGGCGCGCCAGCTCCTGGCGGATCTGGCCCACGCCGAAGGACACGACGCGCGCGTGCGCCTCGACGCCGCCGGAGGCGCGGTCGCCGCTCCGCGCGGCCATCGGGCCGCGCGGCTTTCGGAGACGCGAGCAGCCCGGGATGGCGTCACCTCCAAGCTTGATGTCTCTGATATAAAAACGCTCCCCAGGGTTGTGTTTTTTAGCCCCACCCCGGGGCCTTGGGGGGGTTTTATGGGCCTTCGGCGACCCCCCCACCCCCCGTCCCGGCGGCCCCCGGCGGCCTGGACGCGTACTGGGGCGCTGTTTTCAGGAGGTCGTCGCGTCTGGGCCGAGCAGAAGTCGACCCCCCCCACCCCCGTCAAAACCCCCCCAAGGCCCCCCCCGGTGGCTAAAAAACACAACCCAGACGGAAGCCGTGTTTCCCTCAACATCTTGTACTTCACGTCGAATAAATTGGCCTCTGGCCCGGGGCTCCGCGGCGCGCAGCCCCATGGACCACGGGTCGCACCGGACGACGGGCCACCTGCTCAAGAAGGGCGGCTCGCGGACGAAGTTCGGGCGGCGGAACTGGAAGAAGCGGTGGTTCGTGCTGGACCTCGAGCGGGGGTGCCTGTCCTACTTCAAGGACGCGTCCTGCGCGCGCTTCAAGGGGAGCGTGCGCCTCGGCGAGCAGTCGTCGCTCCAGATCCCCGACAGCGTGTCCCTGCGGGGGCGCCACCGCCCGACGGGCGACGAGCTGCTGAACTACTTCGAGCTCCGCGGCGTCCTGGACGACGCGGGCGCGCCGCGGTCCAAGCCCTTCAAGCTCCGCGCGCTGGGCGGCGACGAGCTCTTCGAGTGGCTCCAGTCCCTCAAGGCGTCCCTGGCCCTCGTCCGCGGCCTCCCGTCGGCCCCCGCGCGGCCGCCGCGGACGCCGCGGACGCCCGCGGCGCCGCCGCCGCGGCCGCCGCCGGAGCCCGCGACGAGCTCCGAGGAGGAGGAGGGCTACTCGTCGCCCGACGACGACGACTACCCCGAGGTGCGCGCGTCCATGATGCGCGTGTCGCTGACGCCCCCGCACCCGGCCCCGCGGCCCGACGTCGACGAGGCGGCGCGGCTCCGCCACAGCCTCACGTCGCAGGCAGGGCAGGACAAGAGAGCGAAATTCCCAACTTCAAAGGCTCCTTTCTCGGCCGTTTTCCACTCGTTTCGGCTGACTTTTGGACGAGCGATCATCTCTCGGAACGGTCTCGAAGCGTGAATGCTTTTTCCGGAACGCGCGCGCGCGGAACACTCACGTTGAAGCGACGTTGAATCTCTCTTGTCCTGCCCAGGTCCCAGGAAGCCGCGCACGCCGCGCGGGGCCTGCGCGCGCTCTGGGACCGCGTCGAGTCGAGCGAGGACGGCACGGCGCCGTCGCCGCGCGGGAGCTCCATCCACGACGGCGCGGCGCCGGCCGCCTGGGCGCCCGCGCGCGGGCCGCCGCCGCCGCCCATGCCCCGCGTCGCGAGCCTTCCGGAGGACGAGGCGCCCGCGGACGAGGAGCCGCCCGCGCCGCAAAAGCCCGCGCGGCCGCCGGGGTGGCGGCCGCCGCCGCCGAAGCGCGGCGAGGCGCGGAAACAGGAGGTCTTCGACGGCCTCGTGGAGCTGTCCGCGTCGACGGACATGGCCGCGCTCGAGGCCGCCGTCGACGCCGCGCTCGCGTGCGGCATCTCCTTCGAGGCCGAGGAGATGGTCGCGGCGCGCACGCGGCTCCAGTTCCTCAGCGCGACGGACGACGCGCGGAGCCTCCTCATCAAGGCCCTCGACAAGGACCCGGACACGAAGGAGCTCGGCGAGGCCATCTCCTTCGCGGTGTCCGCGGGGCTCGACCCGGACGAGCCCGCGATGCAGCGCGCCCAGGCCATGCTCTGCGAGCAGCTCCAGGCCGGGGACCCGGCCATCTCGACGTGGTGCTAAGCGTGTTTTTTTGTGGCATGGCGGGTAGGTCTTGCATTCTCATTGTGGTCGGTGTTGACACGTAAGTGACGTCTAGCGGCAAAATCCTAACAGTGAAGAACTTGCTCTGATCGAGGTGGAGGCGCCAAAGAGGGGAGTTTGTCCCGCGCCTATCCCATGGATCCCGACACGGGTTGGGAGACGGTCGGGGTGCGTAGTCGGACGAACAGCGACGCCGAGCGGCGCCCGAAGGTCGTGGACCTGGCGTCGTCGCCGCGGTACGCGGCGAGCGCCGCTGTGGAGAATCTCGGCCGAACGAACACGAACACGTATGCGAACGGCGCGGGGTCGCCGTCCCGCGGCGCGGCGCACTACGCGGGCGCGCCGCCGGTGAGCGCGCGGCCGCCGCACGGGTCGGGCGGGTCCGCGCCGAAGAAGAAGCGGCCGAAGCGGAAGCACGGCGAGCACGCGACGGGCGTCGTCCGCCGCCGCGCGGACTGGGACGACCACTGCCTCATCGAGATGGCCGACGGCTTCGAGGACGTCTTCTGCCACCGGCACCGGTGCCAGGGCAAGGCCCTGCCCGAGCAGGGCCAGATCGTCCACTTCAAGCTCCACCTCTCGTCGAAGTCGCTCTGCTGGCAGAGCGGCTTCGTGACGTGGGACGAGAACGAGCGCGTCCTGCCGGCCGCGGCCCACCCGGCGGCGCGCCCGGACGACCGCGCCCTGGGCCCCGCCAACGAGAACCGGGCGCCGCTCCCGCAGAACGTCTGGGGCGCGCCGCCGCGGCCGCGCGCGTTTTCGAACGGCGACGCGTCGCTGCCGCCGTCCATGGCGTCGTCGCTCGTCGGCTCGGAGCCGAGCCGCGTGCGGCGCGGCAGCAACGCGAGCGACATGACCGCGAGCTCGGCGACGGAGGGCCTGGGCGACGAGTTCCAGAACCCGCGCGCGTCCCGCGCCCCGGCGGAAGCGCTTCCGGGGCCCGAGGCGACGCGAAAATCCCGCAGGTGGGACATGAACCGCGGCTACGGCGGCGGCTACGGCGGCGGCTACGGCGGCGGCCTCCTCGACCCGAGCGTCGACGCGGCCCCGGCCCCGTGCGCGGCCGGCGTCGCGCCGCTTCCGAATCCGAATTCACCGGTCTACGCATCTAGGTACGGCCGCGACGACCTGCCGGGCCTCGGCGCCCTGGGCCTGACCCTGGACCGGCCCGAGGACCGCTGGGGCGGCTCGCCGCCCCTGTCCGTGCCGGCGTCGCGGCGCAACAGCATCGACGATCCGCCGCCGTCGCACCAGTCGGGCGCGTCGTCGCCGCGGAGCAGCCTCTACACGGACCGCCTCGCCGACGACCTCGCGGCGAGCCTGTCCCTGGAGCGCAAGCGCCTCGACCCCCTCGCCGCCGCCGCGGCGCCGCCGGGCATGGGCCAGGGCGCGCTCGGCGGCGGCGCGCCGGGCCTCGGCGCGGCGCCGGGTTTGGGCGCGCCCGGCATCCTCGGCATGGGCAGCCGGGGCCTCCTCGGCGGCTTCGCCACCTTTAGCAGCGCCCTCGTCGACGACCTCCACCACGCCAACGGCTACGACGACGAGCCCGCGTCGCCGAACGCGCCGTCGCCGAACGACACGCCCGCGTTCCCGCCGCGGCGGTCGGCCGCGCCGCCGCCCTTCGACCTGCCGCCGCCGGCGGCGCCGGCGCCCGCGCCGCCCATGACCTGGGCCAACGCCGCGTCGGGCCTCGGCAGCCCCGGCGCGCGGCGGCCCGCGGGCTCGCCGCGGTGCGACGGCGGCGAGAAGATCACGTTGAAGGTCACGCCCGTCGACGAGCCCAAGCTGCCCTGGCTCGCGTCCGCGGACCTGCCCGCGGGCCGGTCCGCGCCCCTGGCGAAGCTCAAGGCCCAGGTCGCCGCGGCCGTGGAGGCGGGCAACGCGTCCGCGATCCAGAAGTTGAAGCGGCGCCGCGAGACGCGGAAGCGCGCCAAGCGCGGCGACCACTGCAAGGTGGCCGTGCTGCCCCGCGAGCGCGGCGGCGTCGTCGTCAAGGCCTACGGCGTCAACGCCGCCGGCGCCGGCGCGGCGCTGCGGAGCGTCCTCGGCGCGAACGCGTCGCTCGTCGCGGCGACCAAGTCCGAGGGCCGGCCGCCGACGCCGCAGGAGAAGGCGCGGCTCGACGCGGAGACCATGGCGAACCTCGGCTGGGCCGAGCTCATCGCCCAGCTCCGGTCCATCCTCGCCAAGTCCGACGCCGAGAGCGGCATCTGCTGCAACCACCTGTCGCGCGCCTTCGAAAGGGACTTCGGCTCCGCGCTCGTCGAGACGCTCTTCGGCGACTTCGAGAGCCTGGCGGCGCTGCTCCGCGCGCCCCAGCTCCGGGACGTCGTGCGCCTCGTGGACCAGCCCGGGCGGCCGGACCTCGCCGTGAAGCTCGCGAAGAACCCCGTGGACGCCATGTTGGCGAAGCTCGGGCTGTCCGCGTACGCGGCGACGCTCGCGCGCGAGGACGTCACGCTCGCGACGCTCAAGGTCATGACCGACGACGACCTCGCGGAGCTCGGGCTGCCCAAGGGGCCCCGGGTCCAACTTTTGGCCTGGGCCAAGCAGTGAATTCGTCCGCCGCTGCCCCTCTCTGTTCTTCGCCGCTCCCGCCGGGGTTTCGCGAGAGACCCCCGCGGCTGTGTGCCCAGCGGCCCCCCCCCGCGGCGCCCGACCCCAATCTATCAATCGCACCCTCCCCTCCCCCTCCACTCAGCCGGCCGCCGCGCCTTAACTCATCCTGTTTACAATGGTCTTTACGAGCGTCCGCGTCTCGCGAGCTCGCTCGACAGGCGCGCGGCGAGCTCATCCGTGTTTACAAGTACGCTCGCCTTACGAGCCCGGACTTGCTCACACACAGTGGTCTTTCCGAGGCCGCGACGTGGTTGAGAGGGTCACCCTAGCGACGCGCCGACTCACGCGCACGTGATGCCGCCGGGCTTGCGCTCGCGGCCGAGCTTGAGGCGGCGGATCGTGAGGTCGAGCTTGGGCCAGAGGGCCATCCACATGCCCTCGAGCCACGCGCGCCGCTTCTGCGCGTTGGGCTCCGCGTTCAACTTCTTCGAGTACGGTTTCGCGTGCGGCCCGTGCAGCTGGCCGCAGAAGGCCGAGGTGTAGATCCCGCAGTTCCAGTCGCCGACCTCCGCCGGCACGTCGGACCGGTCGGGCGCGCCCGGCGCGCCCATGGCGAACGTGTTCTGGTAGAGGTCGTAGCCCCGGTCCGGCCCCGCGGAGAGGCGGAGCGCCGACGACAGCTCCGGCAGGTAGCGGAGGCCGCGCTTCTCGAAGGCGCGCATCCACCAGTGCCAGTAGTGGCTCGAGCCGTCGATGTGGCCCGTGCCGCCCTGGCCCGGCCGCGCCGCCGAGAAGACGAGGTACCGGCCCGTCGCCGCGGCGAGGTAGTCGACCATGCGGTCCACGCGGTCCTCGCTCAGGTGCTCCGCGACCTCCAGCGAGAGCACGAGGTCGAAGGTCGTCGCGCCGCCGAAGAGGTCGCGGACGCAGGGCGCGGCGGACGCGTCGAAGGCGTCCATCGCGAGCTGCACGGGCCGCAGGGCGCCCGCGCGCGCCGGATGCGCGAAGACGTCCGCGAGCATGGGCTCCGGTTCGACGCAGACGACGCGGCTCCCGCCCGGCACGTGCCGCGCGAGGAAGTCCGCCGTCGTGCCGATGCCGCAGCCGAACTCGAGCACGGACCGCGGCCGCAGCCCGTAGGCCAGGTGCCGCGCGAAGAACGTCGCAAAGTTGAAGCCGTAGACCGCCAAGTGCGTGCACGCGGACCACTTGCCGCCGTCGCTCCCCAGGTTCGACCCCTTGCCGGACCGCACCAGCTCGTCGATGCTCGGGAACTTCGTCGCCACGTGGTCGACGCAGGACAAAGGCAGCAACCGCTCCGAGCCGAGCTCCGGCTTTCGTAACGGCGGGCCGTCGCGGACCCAGACCGTTCGCCCGCCGCCGAACATGCAGCACGCGGCGCCGGCCGTCACGCCGTCCGCGCTCCGCCGGCCCTTCGCCGTCGCCTCGTCCGTGAGCGTCGGCCTCGCGTCGTTGGGGCGGAAGAAGTCGTAGCGCGCCCACCGCGACCAGTGCTCGTGGCACGTCATGTTGGCCAGGCTCGTCCGACCGCGGTTCGGCCCGGCGACCCACTCGAGGTTCTGGCACGTCGCGCGACAGTTCGTCTCGCCGGGCGCGCAGGGCGCGGCGATGGTCTTTTGGGGGGGTGTTTTTGGTAGCGGCGCCGTGTGGAGCGGGAGGACGACGAAGATGAGGAAGCCGAGGGCGAAGGCCGCGGCGGCGACGCCCTTGACCGTGATCTTCTTGGGTTGCTCCTTGAGCTTCGTGAGCAGCTCGGCGCGTTGGGTGATGGTACCGAGCATGTCGTTGGCGTTACGAGAGGCGCGGGTGGTCAGGTACTCACGGCGCGAGCTTTGGGCCGCCGACACGGGTCGATTAGCTTTTTTGGCGAGTTTTTGTGGCAGACCCAAGGAGGAGGCCGCATAGACGCGGAGCGGGCGCGAACGACCGAGACGGCACACACAAAAACAGACGAACAACGATCACGAGATCATGGACCCGGAGCTCGTGGCGAAGAAGCTAGAATACGAGGCGAAGAAGGCGCGGCTCAAAGAACTGCGAATGCGGCTGACCTGCACCATATGCGGGGCAAAACCGAAGACGTTGCTCAACTGCCCCTGCGGGACGACACAGTGCGCGCCCGGCGCGACGCGCGCGAACGGGTCGGGGGCGGCTCGACGCGGCCCGGGGCGCCGTCGCGCGTGACCTGGCGCGACCTCGCAGGTATTGCTCGACCGATTGCCAACGCATCGACTGGCGCGACCGCGGCCACCGCAAGGCGTGCAAGAAGATCCGTGCCGACCGCGCGGCGGAGGCGGCGCGCGCGGAGGCGCCGACGCCGCTGCCGTCGCCGCCGCGCGAGGTGGTCTACGGCCCGGCGCCGCGGTCGCAGGCCGACGAGATCCGCGCGCGCATCGCCGCGGAGCACGAGGCCGCGCGGGCGCGGCGCGAGGCGAACCCGGAGCCGGAGCCGACATCGGCGCGGTGGGGTACGCGGTGCCCGATCTGCTTGGAGGAGTGGGACGTGAATGCGAAGGACGTGTTTCGCGTCTGTTGCTGCGGGAGGGTCTGCGAGTCGTGCGAGGACAAGATCGGCTTCGACGCGTGTCCCCTCTGTCGCCTACCGTGCGCGGAGACCGATGCGGAGCAGCTCGCGCGTCTGCGCCGCCATGTGGAGAACGAGGTGCCGGAAGCGATTGTGCATCTTGGGCGCATGTACGACCAAGGCGATTCGTTCTGCGGTATAGTACAGAACCCAAAGAAGGCAGTGAAACTATGGAAGCGTGCCGTGGAGCTCGGGGACGCGGAAGCGATGAATCATCTCGGGGCGGCATACGAAAGCGGAAGAGGCGTCAAGCACGCGGACGTGAAGAAGGCGACGCAGCTGTATCGAATGGGCGTGGACCGGGGCAGTGTGAGGGCTGTAATCAACCTCGCAACCGTCTTGTTCCAAGGGCTCCAGCTCCAGCTCCAGGAAACAAGTAGAGAGCTCCTGGAGAAACAAGGAGAAGCCCAGGTCGAGATCGATTCGACCCTCGCGAGCGAAATATTCCGCCTCTACGATCTCGCCGCTACGAAAGGGCACTATGGTGGAGTCTACATGAAGGGGCTGTGCTACAAGGCCGGACTAGGCGTGGAAAAAGACTACGTCGAAGCTCGACGCTGGTTAGAGCGCGCAGCCTCCAAGGGCCAAGAACACTGCCAACGGGCGATCGACCAGCTCGCCAAACTAGACGCGGAAGAAGCCACCTCCTCTAAACCCCCCTAGAGCGCCTTCAGGCCTTCAGGAGCGTCCGCGCGCCGAGGGCGACCATGACGCCGCCGAAGCCGAGCTTCATGTGGTCCTCGTCGAGGTCCGCCGCGAGGCGGCCGCCGAGGAACGTGCCGACGCAGGTCCCGAGCCCGAGGGGCAGTGCGATGGGGTTTGCCTTGAGGCCTTTGGCGAGTTTTTGTGGCGTCCGAGCAAGAAGGGGGCCGCATAGACGTCGCACCCGAGACGGCACACGAACAGACGAGAAGAGGAACAACCGCTTAAATCACGAGATCATGGACCCGGAGCTCGTGGCGAAGAAGCTAGAATACGAGGCGAAGAAGGCGCGGCTCAAAGAACTGCGAATGCGGCTGACCTGCACCATATGCGGGGCCAAACCGAAGACGTTGCTCAACTGCCCCTGCGGGACGACACAGTGCGCGCCCGGCGCGACGCGCGAACGGGTCGGGGGCGGCTCGACGCGGCCCGGGGCGCCGTCGCGCGTGACCTGGCGCGACCTCGCAGGTATTGCTCGACCGATTGCCAACGCATCGACTGGCGCGACCGCGGCCACCGCAAGGCGTGCAAGAAGATTCGTGACGAGCGCGCGGCGGAGGCGGCCCGGGCGGAAGCGCCGACGCCCCCGCCGTCGCTCCCGGTCTACGGCCCCGCGCCGCGATCGCACGCCGACGAGATCCGCGCGCGCATCGCAGGGGAGCACGAGGCCGCACGGGCGCGGCGCGAGGCGAACCCGGAGCGGGAGCCAGAGTCGGCGCGGTTCGGATCGCGGTGCCCGATCTGCTTGGAGGAGTGGGACGCGAATGCCATGGGCGTCTTGCGCCCCTGCTGCTGCCGGATGATCTGCAAGTCGTGCGAAGATCACATTCCCTTCGAAATTCCGTGTCCTCTCTGCAAGAAGCCATTCCCAAAATCCCCTTCGGATGAGCTCGCGCAGATTCGGCGACACGTTGAGAACGAGGTACCAGAGGCGATTCAGCATCTTGGGGATCAGTATTGGATCGGAAATAATCGTCTCGGCATCGTGCAGAACGATAAAAAGGCCGTCAAGCTGTGGAAGCGCGCCATGGAGCTTGGGAACGTGGAAGCGATGAGTCATCTCGGGGCAGCGTACGAAGACGGAAGAGGCGTCAAGCACACGGACTGGAAGAAGGCGCAGCAGCTGTATCGCATGGCCGCGGACCGGGGCAGCGCGAGGGCTCAGTACAGCCTCGCAAACGTCATGTGGAAGGAAATCCAGAGCGAAATAGCGCGGTTCCAAGAGACCAACAGCAGCGACGAGTATTGGATCGATTCGACCCGTGCGAGCGAAATATACCGCCACTGCGATCTCGCTGCTATGCAAGGGCACCATGGTGGATTCTACATGAAGGGGATGTGCTACGTAGTTGGTGTAGGCGTGGAAAAAGACTACGTCGAAGCTCGACGCTCTTTGGAGCGCGCGGCCGCCATCACGGGCCGCTGGCAACAACGCGCGATCGACGGGCTCGCCAGACTAGACGCGGAAGAAGCCACGGTAGCCACCTCCTAAAAATATACAACCTAGAGCGCCTTCAGGAGCGTCCGCGCGCCGAGGGCGACCATGACGCCGCCGAAGCCGAGCTTCATGTGGTCCTCGTCGAGGTCCGCCGCGAGGCGGCCGCCGAGGAACGCGCCGACGCAGGTCCCGAGCCCCAGGGGCAGCGCGACGGGCGGCCGCACGTTGCCGAGCCGCACGTGGGCCAGGACCCCCGCGACGGCGGTCGGGACCATGGCGCAGAGGGACGTGCCCAGGGCCGTCTTGTGGTCCGCGTCCGTCGCCAGCGACAGCAGGGGGACGACGACGGCGCCGCCGCCGACGCCGAAGAGCCCCGCGAGGAAGCCCGCGGCGCAGCCGATGCCCAGCAGGGGCGCCGCCTCGCCGGCGGGGTCCGCGCGGAGCTGGTCGAGGCGCTCCGCGAGGGTCGGCTTCGTCGCCGGCGGCGGCGTCCGCGCCGCGCCGACGGCCTCCAAAATCTGCGCCTTGTAGGGCACGACGGGCGCGACGCCGAGCATGAAGCAGCCCAACAACCGCGCGAGCTGCTGGCCGCTCAGCGCCGCGGCGGCGCTCGCGCCGAAGGTCGCCGTCAACGCGCCCGTCGACGCGACGGCCGCCGCGGTGACGACGTCGACGTCTCCCGCCAAAGCGTACGCGCCCGCGCCCGCGGCGCCCGTGGCCAGGACGCCGACGAGCGACGTGCCGTGGGCCGCGTGCTGGCTCAGGCCCTGCGCGACCATCATGGGGATGGCCACGAAGCCGCCGCCCATGCCCGCGAGGCTGCCGAGGCCGCCGGCGACGAGGCCCGTGGCGCAGAGGCCCAAGCTCGACGGCGTCGGCTCCCTGGGGCCGAACTCGTCGCCCGCGGCGAAGCGGCGATGTCGCGGGTGTCTGCGCAGGGCTGGTGGGCGTCTCCGCAGGCCTCCCGCGGCGCGCGCGAGCGGCGCGGCGCGGGTGATCATCATGCCTGCAGCAAGAATCGAGCGTCTGCAAGCGATGGAGCTGCACTTGGCGTTCCTCTGGGCCTGCGCCACGGCCCTAATAACACCGACCCCGCGCATCTCACTGCATAAAACAGCCCTGCAAGCAACCACGTACCGCATCTACAACGTCGCTGTGCCCTTCGAGGCCGACCCCGGCGCGTCGGCGTCGTCGGAGGAGGTGTCCGCCGGCCTCGTCGCCGCGACGCGCCAGCAAGTGAAAAAACTCCAGGAGAAGGGCAAGAAGAAGAAGCAAAAGCGCGCCACGCTCAGGTCCGTCCGGCACGTCGTGCGCAAGTCGCTCGACGCGCGGCACCGGCTGCCGGAGCCGCGGTGGGTGTACGTCGTCGACGCCGAAGTCGACGGCGACCTCGCGGAGAGCTCGGGCCGCTGCGAGGCCCTGCTGCGCCCGGCGAGTAGCGCGCCGCCCGCCGTCGCGAGCCTCGCGAAGAAGCGCCGCGCCGTCGTCGTGGGCTGCGGCCCCGCGGGCTTGTTCGCGGCGTTGCAGCTCCGCGGCGACGGCTTCGACGTGACGGTCCTGGAGCGGGGCGAGCCCGTCGAGGTGCGCGGCCGCGACATCGGGCGGCTCATGGCGCGGCGGAGCCTGGTGGAGGAGAGCAACTTCTGCTTCGGCGAGGGCGGCGCGGGCACGTGGTCCGACGGGAAACTGACGACGAGAATCGGCAGGAACGCCAAAGACGTCCGCGCGGTCTTGCGGACGCTGGTCTTCCACGGCGCGCCGCGGGAGATCCTGAGCCAGGGGTCGCCCCACCTCGGCACCGACGGCTTGATCGGCATCCTCAAGTCGCTGCGGAAGCGCCTGCTCGAGGCCGGCGTCGACGTCCGTTTCGGCGCGCGTCGTCGACGGGTTCCTCAAGGACGGCGACCGCTGCGTCGGCGTCTCCGTCGTCGAGGGCGGGAAGAGCTTACAATTTGACGCCGACGCCGTCGTCGTGGCCAGCGGCCACAGCGCCGAGGACGTCTACGACGCGCTGGGCGAGGCCGGCGCGGCTCTCGAAGCGAAGCCCATCGCCGTCGGGTTCCGCGTGGAGCACCCGCAGGCGCTCATCAACCGCATCGCCTACAAGGACCTCGGCGGCCGCGTGACCACGGGCAACAAGCGCACGGACCGCCTGAACGCGGAGACCTGCGGCGCGGCCGAGGGGCCCCGACTTCCCGTCGCGGCCTACCGGTTGGCGGCCGACGACGTCGAGGGGAAAGGCCGCGGCTGCTATTCCTTCTGCATGTGCCCGGGCGGGCAGATCGTGCCCGCGCTCACGCGGCCGGACCTCATGGTCGTCAACGGCATGTCCTACAGCCGGCGGCACTCGGTGTTCGCGAATTCGGCCATCGTCGCGACGGTGTCCGCGGACGACCCCGTGCTCGAGCCGTTCGCGAAGCACGGCGCGCGGCGCGTCCTCGAGTTCCAGCGGTCCCTCGAGCGGGCGGCGGCGGCGCTCGGCGGCGGCGACTTCGTGTGCCCCGTGCAGCGGCTGCCGGACTTCGTCGACGGGCGGACTCCGAAGGCGGGTTCACAACCGCCGGCGTCGTCGTACCGCCTCGGCGTCAAGGAGGCGCCCTGCCACGACCTGCTGCCGCCGGCGCTCGTCGAGACCATCGCCGCCGCGGCGACGGACGCCTTCGAGCGGTCCATGCCCGGCTTCGTCTGCGGCGACGCGATCCTCCACGGCGTCGAGACGCGGACGTCCGCGCCGCTGCGCGTGCCGCGCGACGACGACTCGAAGGAGTCGACGTCCCTCCCGGGGCTGTACCCCTGCGGCGAGGGCGCGGGCTACGCCGGCGGCATCGTGTCCGCCGCCGTCGACGGCCTCCGCGTGGCGCGCGCCGCGGCGGCGACGCACGGCGCCCCGGCGACGGACATCTGCGAGAACATCGGGGTCCTCGACGTGTCCTAAATAGTCGAGTCAGGCGCGCGCCTTCGACGAGTCGCACGCGGAGTATACCGGGGTGGTGGTTAGGCGCGCGCTTCGCTCCGTCATCTACATGGCCATGGCCGCCTCGAGCTCGCGGAGGGCCTTCATGTCCGCGTCCTCCGCCGCCGGCGCCGGCGGCAGCGCCGTGGGCGCCGCGGGGAGGTCGAACGCGGCGGTCGGCGCGGCCGGCAGCGGCATCGCGGGGATCGGAGGCGCGTCCAAAAGTTGGCTCTCGAGCTCGAGCTCCTCCATCTCGTTGAGCTCGTTGAGCAGGTCGTCGTCGTTGAGCACGTCGTTCGCCGGCGCGGAGATGGCCGCGCTGATCTCGTCCGCGACCTCCATCTCCTCCTTGATGTCGTCCATGAGGTCGCCCACGGTGTCCGCGTCGACGTTCTGGCGCGCGGCCTGCATGGCCTTGGCGCCGCTCTTCATGGCGTTGACCGTCTCCGCGTTGGTCACCGTCGCCTCGATGGCGATCATCTGCTGCTCGAGCGTGAGCCGCGCGCCGTTGATCTTCTCGATCTCCGCCTCGTACATCTTCTTCCGCTTGAGGCAGTAGAGCGCGCCGCGCTTGTCCTTCTTGCCCATCTTTTCCTTGGCCTCCTTCGTCTGCTGCTCGATCTTCTTGTCGAGGTGGACCTGGCGCTTCTCGAGGGTCTCCACCGTCGACCGCAGCTTCAGGATGGTCTGGGCCGGGTCCGACGGGCCGCCGGGGGCCGCGGGCGACTTTTTCCTCCCGAAGAGGTTCATGGTCCAAGCGCGTCGACGGCGCCCCGGGCGCAGGGTGAGCGTGGGCGCGGCGCGGCGCGCGAGGACGGCTCTTCGGAGGCGGCCGGTCCTGCCTCGATCACGCCGCGAAGGTTGCGTCCACCCCTGGGGCATCGATGCACCTGGCGGCCTCGGCGCACGGCTGCAGGCTCGCGAAGCACTAGTGCGAAGGAGCAGGTGCCGACGCCGAACCTTTCTACGAGCGCAAACTCGGGCGTCGTGCGCACGAAGAGCGAGCTCGTGGCCTACGGCCGCTGGTGAGCATCATGATCAACGAGAAGGCCACGCGCTTCATCGTGGGCTGCGCCTTGACCAGCCGGTATGTTCCGTCGGCGAACACCGTCGGGACGAAGTAGCGGGGCTTGTCCTTGAGGCCCTTGACGAGGCTCTTGTAGTACAGCAGCAGTCGCTTCGTGGAGAAGACGATCCCGGACGTCGACACGTCGACCATCTTGCCCGTCTTAGGAGCGTCGCACACGTCCGCGGACTGCGCGCTGCTCGACGCTCTTGAACGAGTCGTATCAGTCCTGGTCGTTCGCGTTGCGCTCGTCGAACGCGACGGCCACGCGGCCGTCGGCGTAGAGTCTGACCTTGCCCGACGCTCGAGCCCCGCTTAAAAAATAAGCATCTCGCCTACAACAAAACATGTATCGAATAGAGCTGCCCGACTTGCATTGGCATATACCGGTAGGAGCACCGAGAGGCCGCGCTGCCCCGACGACCGCAGCGGCGACCCATGGCGGCCGTGGCGTGCTCGGCCCTCGGCGAGGGCGACCGGCCCGCGACGCCGCTCACGGCGCGGCAGCTCGACACGCAGCGCGCCTACGGGCAGCGCATGGCGGCCCTGGCGACCCACCTGAAGCACGTCGAGGCGCGGCTCGCGTCGGCGAAGGCGACGTGCGGCGAGATGGAGGACCTCGAGCGGGCGCTCCACGACAAGGGCGTGTCGCTGAGCCGGCCGACGACGGCCCAGGAGCGGCCGAGGCCACCGCTCGCGGGCGCCGCGCCGGCCGCGCGGCCGGCGAGCGCGAACGGGAGCCGGCCCTGCACGCCCCAGGAGCTGCGCCTCGAGCTCGGCGCGCGCTGCTTCCACCGGGGCCGCTTCGGCACCGTGGCCTACCTCGGGCCCGTGGGCTACGCCCAGGGCGAGTGGTGCGGCATCGTCCTCGACGAGCCCGCGGGCAAAAACGACGGCTCCGTCAAGGGCAAAAAGTACTTCGAGTGCAAGCCCAAGCACGGCCTGATCGTGCGGAGCCACGAGTGCATGCGCGCCGACAAGACCCGGCCGCTGAAGCTGCCCAAGGCCGCCTTCGAGTGAGTTTCGTCTCCTCTGCCCCGCGCGCGGTCCCTCTTCTAACTGTGCCGTATTAGTATCGCAGCTCGCCGCAGTCGGCGATGACGATGGTCTTCTGGGGCTTGCCCGACACGGGCGTGCCGCAGAACTCGACGCGCTTCACGACGCCGCCGCCCTTGGTCACGCGGCCGAAGCAGACGTGCTTCCCGTCGAGGTGCTTCGCCTGGAAGACCGTGAAGAAGAACTGGCTGCTGTTCGTGTTCGGCTTCTCCGGCCCGAGGTTCGCCATGGACCTATGAAGGCGTATTGGGGGCCGAGGCCTCGCGAAAAAACGACGCGGGCATCGCGGACATCAGCATGCTTCGATCGTGGCTCACGTAGCCGTCGTCGTACTCGTCGTCGAAGAACTGGCCGTAGATGGACTCGCCGCCCGTGCCGTTGAGGTGCGTGAGGTCGCCGGCCTGGCACATGAAGTCGGGCAGCACGCGGTGGAAGACGTTGCCCTTGAACCACAGCGGCACGTCCGAGAGGCCGACGCCCCTCTCGCCCGTGCAGAGGCAGCGGAAGTTCTCGCAGGTCTTCGGGCACAGGCTCGCGAAGAGCTCCATCTCGATGCGGCCGACGCGCTTGCCGTCGATGTCGACGTCGAAGAAGACTCTGGGGTTGCCGGGCAGCCCCGCGACCTCGTCGACGAGCACCCTGCGCTTCGTGGCGACGATGTCCGGCGGCCGCTTGTTCCACGCGCGATCGACGAAGTTGATGACGGCGAGGAGCGCGATGATGCCGAAGAACCAGGTCCACCTACACGTTGATTACGTCGAGCACGTCCTTTCGTCGGACGCTGCGGTCCAACCCGCTGTAGCCGAAGAGCGCCGCCGCGCAGGGCCGCGGGCTGCACAGCGCGAGCAGGAGCGCGTACCTCGCGGCCATGGTGCAACGTGTGCGCTACTGAGTGCGCGAGTGCGCGCTTTCCATCGATCGATGGGCTGCCCTTTTCCGGCTCTTGGTTGTAGTTCAACAAACCACTTTTTATGAAACGCTCCGCCTCGAGAGCAGTGGACTTGGAAGCCCGCGCCGCGACGCGACCATGCCGTCGAACACGGAGATGCACGACCGCGCCGGCAGCCCGACGGCCGGGGACGACGCGGACCCGGCGAGCTGGTCCGCTTCGCGCGTCAAGACCTGGCTCGAGGAGATCGGCATGTACCAGTACGCGCCGTGCTTCGCGAAAAACCACATCCAGGGCAAGGTCTTGGCGCTGCTCACGGAGGACCACCTCCGCGAGATCGGCGTCGAGAGCGTGGGGCACCGCGTGCTCCTCTTCGAGAAGTGCCACGAGATCCGCCGCGCGGCGGTGCACAAGATGCGAAACGAGGTGCTCTGGGAGAGCGACGAGCAGATCTACACGGGCGGCTGCGACGACTGGGCTTTCAAGCAAGGCACCTGCTACTCGTGCCGCGTCGACCCGGACCACTACAAGCTGACGGGCAGCGCGCTCTACCTCAGCGAGGTCGACGCGTCGAAAGCCAAGGGCTGCAACTGCCAGGTGTCGAAGCGGACGCGGACCATCGAGCTCGCGTCCATCACGGGCACGTCGGACTACTTCGCCCACAGCGCCTGCGACTGCGGCTGCGCGGCCGACGTCGTCAACGTGGAGCTGAAGGGCTCCCTGGGGCTCCCGCCCGTCGCGCCGCTCCACGTCGCCAAGGGCGAGGGCCGCCGCATCTCGGACCTCATCGCCACGGCCGTCGAGAAGAACCACCTCGCGCCGGCGCAGGAGGCCATGGCTCGCTAAGGAGGGACGCTTTTACGACCCCGCGGCCGCGAGCCACGCGGCGAGGTCCGGCGCGTTTCCCAGGTCGATGTCCGCGACGCGGACGCACGCGGCGACGCCCTCGGGCAGCTCCGCGACCGTCGACGCCTCGACGATCCACGCGAGGTCGACGGCCAGGGTCGGCGCGCGCGGCAGCAGCTCGTGGAGCGCGTAGTTCGACGTGTGCGAGAAGTCCTCGCCGAAGTGGAGGCCGAACTCGAGGGTCCCGCGCCGCCGGGCCGCGCGGCTCGCGCCCTGGCGCGGGCCGAGCACGGCGGGCTTCGCCATGCGCACGGGCACGCCGTTGTAGCCGCGGACGACGAGGGGCAGCGCGTCCTCGTTCGCGACGCGCGCGACGCCCTTCAGAGCGCCGCTGAGGACGGCGTCGGCGTCGCAGGTCGCGGCCCAGTCGCGCCACTTGCGCATGGCCGGGGTCCACTCCGTCTCCGGCGCCGCGTAGGCCGCCGCGGCGGCGTCGGTGAGGTGCCAGCGCGCGACGACCTGCCAGCCGCCCGCGCCGGGCTTCTCGGCCGCGGAGAGCGCGTAGCCTAAGCGCGCGGACGCGACGAGCCCTCCGATCACCGGCGGCGGGTCCGCGGGCACGAAGAAGTTCATGACGAGGACGCGCGGCACGGGCAGGTCGTCGTCGGCGTCGAGGCCGAGGCGCTCCGCGACGTCGAAGACCGGGGCCGTGGTTTTCAGCACGTCGACGGCCGCGGGCGCGTAGGGCGCGTCGGCCGACGGCTCCTTCGTCTTCGTCTCGATGTAGGTCGCCGACCGCACGGAAAAGTCGCCGGCGGCCATCGGCTGCCACCGGCAGGCCCGGCCCGCCTCGAAGGACGAGGTGTCCACTTGGGACGCCATGCTTGCTAAGACCCTCGAGCGCGTCGCGCCGCGCGCGGCACGCCTCCGCCGCAGCCACGCGGTCCTCCCAGACGCTCCCTCTAAAGCTCACCCCTGGAGCGTCAAGTTGGGTTCAACATAGCGCGTCCGGAGACGTCCAGAGACTTGTCCAGAGTACAAACGCCCGTCCGGACAGACACGTCCGAGTTACGTGCGAGCTTTAAAGCGAGGGGCAGACGCGTGCGTGCGCTGGGGGGCCGGGGCGGGGGCGGGGGCGCGGCCTGTGGTGCGGGGCGGCCGGTGCGCTGCGGGGCGGCCGGCGCGCTGCGCTCATGTGCCGCGGTGGCGCCCCCGCGCTTGTGGACTGCGCCCGGCCTCTAGACGCCGCCGGAGACCGCGAGGCTCTCCTCGGGCGCCTCGTCGTCGTCGGCCTTCATGGGGACCATCTCCTTGGCCGGCGCGCCGTCCATCTCCGCCGACTGGTCCATCGTCGACTGGTAGTGGACGAACGCGAAGACGCCGACGAGCACGACCTGGGCAGGAAACACACTATTACAAACGAATTCAATGTGGTGTCTCACTCGGCGTCGAGCACGCGACGAGAGACGACGACTCGTCCAAAAATGAGCCGGAACGACCGAGATAGAGAGGTTTGAAGTTTTGCCGGACCCACCGGCTGTTTCCGACTCCGAGCGCGACGGCGAGCGCGACGACGATGCCGACGATCATGCCCGTGTCGTCGCCGTCGCTCTTCTTCGAGCCGCCGCCGCCGCCGCCCGTCGCCGTGGTGCAGTCCACCGTCTCGCCGCAAGCGGCGGTCCACTCGCACGACGCGACCGCCTCGAACTCGGACTCGCACGCTTCGTCGTAGGTGCCGTAGTCCGCGCACGACGCGGCGCCCGAGGCCAGATCCGCGCAGGACGCCGACGTGTCGATGGCCACGTTCGGGTCGCAGGCCATCATCGCTTCCACGGCCGCGTCGCATTCGTCGACGACGACCTCCGGCGCGGACACGGACGTCGTGGCCGCGTCCGCGAAGATGTTCTCGAAGCCGCTGTCCTCCGCGGATTGCGAGATGGCCGCGTCCCAGTCGTCGGCCGTCGCGGCGCCGAGGCTCGTCGCGAGCTCGTCCGCGGCGTCGGCCGACTCGACCTCGACGACGTAGGTGACGACGACGGAGTCCGCCAAAAGCTTGCGGCGCGCGCCCTCGCTGAAGGTCACCTCGACGGCGGGCGTGCCCGCGTAGTAGCTCTGGACCATGGCGACGACGGCGTCCTTGAGCACGTCGCTGCCCTCGGCCGTCGCGAGGTCGATGCCGCCGACGGTGAAGTCGCCGGAGATGGACGCGGGCAACGGCGTGGGCGCGGGCGTCGGGCCGGGCGTCGGCGCGGCCGAGGGGCGGGGCGTCGGCGCCGCCGTCGTCGGCGCGGGCGTCGGCGCGGGCACGGGCGCGGGCGTCGGCTCCGCGGTCGTCGGCGCGGGCGTCGGCGCGGGCACGGGCGCGGGCGTCGGCGCGGGCACGGGCGTCGGCGTCGGCGCCGGCGTCGGCGCGGGCACGGGCGCGGGCGTCGGTTCCGCGGTCGTCGGGCCCGGCGTCGGCGCGGGCACGGGCGCGGGCGTCGGCGCGGCGATGGGCGCGGTCGTCGGCGCCGGCGACGGCGCGCCGACGCACGTCGCGTACTCGACGAAGGCGCCCTCGACGCAGCGCGTGATGCCCGACGCCGTGTAGCCGTCGTCGCAGGTCACGTGGCAGCCGTTGCCGCTGTAGAGCGTGTCGCCCGTCTCGCAGTACTCCGACGCGTAGACGCCGTTGTCGGGCTGCGCCGCGACGGTGCACGTCGTCCCGTCGGCGACGAACGTGTCCATGTTCTGGAACACGTTGCCCGTGATGACGTAGTAGTCCGTCATGTCGCAGCACGCGTAGCTCATCTCCGTGCCGCTCAGGTAGCTGTCGGACGTCGTGAATGAGAGCAGCGCGCTCGACCCCTCCTGCCGGCTCAGGTCCGCGCGGAAGCAGAGGAGCGGGCCCGTCGTCGAGATGACGACCTCGTCGCCGTCGTCGCAGCGGTCGTTGCCCGCGCCGCAGGTGTAGTCGAAGATCTGCGTGTGGTAGTGGTACGTCGTCCCGAGGTCGACGCCGTACTCGTCGGTCGTCGACTCGTCGTGCGTGTGGCCGCTGCACTCGTCGAGGAGCGGCGCCGCGAAGCCCGGCGCGTCGTCGCCGAGGTAGCGGCCGTAGATGAGGTGGCCGTCGGCGCCGAAGCCGATGATGGGCGGGTGCGACGCCGTGGTCGTGTAGTTGGACGTGCCGTACAGGCACTGGTGGCTGTCGCTGAAGAGGTCGCCGTGGACGTGGGGCTGGCCCGCGCCCTGGCCGACGTGGAGGTTGCAGGGCGACGTCTCGCAGGTCGGCTGGTTCCACTCGCCGCGGTTGTTCTGCGTGACCCAGTTCTGCATGCCGTTGACCGTGATGCCGACGCCCGCGCCGTCGGGGAGGCCGTAGGTGCCGATGCCGAGGCCGTCGTCGTAGAGGTAGGGGATGCCCTCGTTGCCCGCCGTGCCGTCGAAGAGGTCGACGTTGTTCGTCCAGACGCCCTCGTCGAAGTCGACGACGTCGAGCGGGTACTGGAGGCTGTAGTAGCGGTCGACGGTGCGCGTCGGGTCGCCCGTGCAGTAGGTCACGCCGTCGGACACGCCGAGCGGCCTACGATTTGTGTTCTTTTTGTCAGCGCGGGGAAGCCCTCCTTCCAGCGACGCGCCCCGCGTCCATCGTTGGACGCCGGCGGGCGACGGGCTCGGCACGTTGTTGAGCGTCGGCTCGAAGACGCCGCCCTCGCCGGACGTGAGCAGGATGAGCCACTTGTCGTTGCAGAAGGCGTACTTGATCGACGGCCCCTGGATGACCTGCTCGAGGAAGGTGCCGTCGCAGACGCCGTCCGTGCGCTGCGTGCAGTCGGAGTCGCACGCGCCTGCGGCGTTCCGCGTCGCCGCGCGCGGCGCCCGGAGACGCGGCCGTCCGCGCCCTTGAAGGTCCAGTCCGTGACCTCGTCGTAGTCGGACATGTCGAGGAACTCCGTGCAGTCCGAGCCGTCGGACGCGTAGTCGGACCGGTACGCGCCGGTGACGCCGTCGACCTAAAAAAAATCGTTTCAGCCAGCCTCGGAGGACGGACGCCGCCGTGCGGACGGTCGGGGGCCCGCCGCCGGCGTTCGAGCACGTGATGTACTGGTTCCGGCAGGTCGGGGCGCCGCAGTAGCCCCAGCCGCCTACGCGCCCGTTTTATTCCGGCAGCAGCCCCCGAAGCTGCCGCGCGCACCTTCGTCCGTCGGGGCGTAGCACTCGCTGTCCGAGAGGGCGTGGGTGTTGGTAAACTGGCTCGAGACCGTGACGCTCGCGCGGGCGGAGCCCGCCAGCGAGAGCACGAGGATCGCGTGGTTGGCCTTCATCGTCTTGCACTGCCAAATTTGCATGCAACAACGAAAGATGGCATCTTGATGGCAACGATGCCGAGGTGAAGACTTGCGGTGCTCTGCGTAAAAGTCCATGTGCGCAGCCTACGATGCGTCGCAATTGGCCTCGGGCAAGCCCGCCGTGCGCGACTACGCGTCGCCGACCTGCGGCTGGGCCGTGCGCTGCACGAAGGCGCCGATCCTGAGCGTGGCCAAGCGGTCCCTGAGCAGCGAGTCGCACGTCGCCTGGAAGCGCGAGCTGGGCCTCGGCGCCTACGGCGGCATGGAGCTGCCGGCGGCGCTCTACGGGCGCAGCGCGCTCGAGCTGCGCCACGGCGCCTCGGGCGTGCGCCTGAGCTTCTGCGCTTTGGAGGCGCTCCGCGCGTGGGCGGCGCTCGGCGCCGAGCCCGCGCGCCACCGAAACGCGGCGGCGCCCGCGGAGTGGGACTGGACCTTCACGACGCCCTACCGCGGCGCGACGGCCGTGGCCGACTTCGGCGACGGCGTGCCGGCGGAGCCCGACGGCGCCAGCTTCTACGACGGCGGCGACGGCGGCGGCGGCGCCGCGGGCCCGGCGGCGCTCCGGCGGCCGACGTGCAAGTGCGTCTTCGGCCGCAAGCCCCTCCTCGGCGGCGATGAGGCCGCGGCGGCGGCGGCGCCGCCGGCCGCGCCGCCGCCGCCGCCGCCGTGGCGCGCGACGGCCGAGGCCGTCGACATCGAGCGGTTGCTCGCGGCGCATCCGGCGCCGCCGCCCTTCGAGGACTCCGTCGAGCTCTGGTGCGTCTTTCGGCTCCTCTGGAACTTGCAAACGTATTGTCGTAGGCGCGACGACCTCGACCCCCACTCCTTCGCCTTCTTCCGCGTCCGCGTGCGTTTCGCGGGAAAGTTCTGGGTCGCGTTCTCGCGGTTCTTCATCCGCGTCAACGGCGTCCTCGCGCGCGTGCTCGACACGCGCTTCGTCGGCGACGAATCGCGCGTGCTCCGCGAGCGGACCTGGCGCGAGGGCGACTGGGAGACGTTCGCGGGACCCGGCGCGCCGCCGTGCGTCGACTTTGGAGGGGTTGCTTCACGGCGTCCCTTGTGTCCCTCGTGTTCCCAGAGAAGCTCGTTGTTCCCAGAGCAGCTCTTCCTTCGTGTTCGTCCGGCTGCTCTCTGCGACGATTCCTGTTCAGGTCGGCGACCAGCTCGCGGCGAAGCGGCTGCCGCTCAAGTACAGGCACACGGACGAGCTTGCGTGATCTGCGGTGTTTTATTTCCTGTGTGTCTTCTCGGCGAGTACCTCGGCTCGTTGTCGCTCCGGAGAGCATCGGCGCGATGGGGCGCCTCGGCACGCTTTCACCGAGGCGCGCTCCCCGCTCTAGGCTTCCCGACGCGCCCCTCGAGCCGTCGGCGCCGGCGACCGTCGCGCCGGCCTGGCGCTTCGACGGCGCGGGCGAGGCCGTCGTGCCCGCGGGGCGCGTCGCGCTCGTCGTGCTGCGCGACGGCGGCGGCGTCGTCGCGCTCGACCCGCGCACGGGCGCGGAGCGGTGGCGCTTCCGCGCGCGCGCGACGGCCGCGGCGGCGGACGGCGAGTTCGTCGCCGCGGGCTTGGAGAGCGGCGACGTCGTGCTCTTGGACGGCGGCGGCGCCGAGCGGCGCCGCTTCGCCGCCGACAGCGCCGGCGTCTCGCGCGACGTCCGCGCGCTCGCGTTCTGCGGCGGACGCGTCGCGGCGGCGACGGCGCGCGCCGTGACCGTCGCCGACGCCGCGACGGGCGCCGTCGTCGAGCGCGTCGCCTGCGACGAGACCGTCAACGCGCTCGCCGGCGGACGGCGCTTCGCCGCGGCGACGCGGACGGGCGTGCGCGTTTTCGGCGGCGGCGACCACGCGAGCCGGGGCGCGGTCCTGGCCGCGGCCGCGTCGGGCGACGCCGTCGCCGCGGGCTGCATCGACCGCAAGGTCCGCGTCTTCTTCCCCGGCGGCCGGCGCCGCGAGTGGACGGGCTTCTCGTCGGCCGTGGAGCGGCTGGCCTGGAGCGCGTCGGGGACGTGGCTCGCGGCCGTCGGCGGGCGCGCCGTCGCGCTGCGCCGGGACCTGCCGCCGGGCGAGGCGCCCGTGCGCTGCGCCGTCGACGCGCCGCTGGACGTCGCGTTCGACCCCGCGCGCGAGGACCGGCTGGTGGTGGGCGCGCGCGGCGGCGTCTTCGTCTTCGACCTCGGTCGCGCGGACGACGCGGTCCCGCGGCTCTGCTTTCCCGTCGCCGCCGCGCCGCCGGCGCGCGCCGTCGCGTTCTGCGGCGGCCGCGTCGTCGCCGTCGGAGACGACGGCGCCGTCTTTGGGGTTGACGTTGATTAATCACGCCAACTTGCCTTCAGTTGATTTTGCCACAGAGAGCATGGGCATGGAGCTCTTGCGACTAGAGCGTAGCTGATGCATTTCGCTGCTCGCCGCGTCGCCGGCGCCGGCGCTGCGAGCGCTGCGCTCTGGTACGTCGCCGCGGCGCCGCAGGAGGACCGGCGCGCGCAGGAGGAGGAGTCCTGCCGCAAGCTGGGGCTCATGCTGCCGACCGAGGCGCAGCGCACGGCCGTCGCGCGGATCCCCGGGTTTCTCTCGGCGCGCGAGTGCGACGACGTCCGCGACGTCGTCCGCGGCCTGAAGTGCGCGACGATCGAGCGGTCCGCCGGTGCGTGTTCTCGTCCCGCGGACCCGCCTCGCGCCCGGGTTTCCCGGGCGCACGCCGACGCGCGCAGGCGGGCAGCACGTCTTCATGGGCCCCTGGACGACGACGTACTTGCACACGGACGACCAGTTCCGCCAGCGGCTCGGCGGGCTGCGGAGCCGGCTGCTCGCCGCGGCCGTCGCCGTCGACGGCCGGGAGCGCTGGGGGCAGCTGGACGAGACGGCGGACGTCAACTTCCGCACGGCCGAGTGCGTTTCGTTCTATTTGCTCTCTCGACCACCGCGCCGTCGACCGCAGGTACCACCAGTACCAGCCCGGCGGCGGCCTCCGGGACGCGCGCCACTACGACGCCGGTTCGTTGATCACGATGGACCTCATGCTCGCGGCGCCGGGCGCCGACTTCGAGGGCGGCGCCTTCGTCACGCCCGAGGCCGACGGGTGCGTTGTCGCCTTTCTTTTGGTCGAGAACGCAGCTCCGCAGGTCCGTCGCGAGGCACGCGTTCGACAAGGGCGGGAAACGAGTGCGAAGTTCCCAAAGGCTCTCTCGGCCGTTTTCCACTCGTTTTGGCTGATTCTTGGACGAGCGATCATCTCTTGGAACGGTCTCGAAGCGTGCATGCGCGGAACACTCACATTGAAGCGACGTTGAATCTCTCTTTTCCCGCCCAGGTTCGACAAGGGCGACCTCGTGCTCTTCGTGTCCCACAAGTACCACAACGTGCGTGATCTTCTTGTTAGCTTTCCTCACCGCGCCGCTTCAGGTCGAGCCCGTCACGAGGGGCACGCGCGTGGTGCTGGTGGCGGAGCTGTGGCGCGGCCCGGAGAAGACGTGCGCCCACCGGTGCCAGACGCTCGGCGCGTGCGGGCACTCGCTCGCGCACGTGCGCGCGGGGCGGGCGGCGCTGGAGGCGGGGGTGCTTGGGTAACAATGTTGGTTGCCACACCGTCACGGGCTTCGTGTTGTTTGCGAAGGCTCTTACTACCGCCGACGCGCAGCGCCACAACGTCGTTGTTTCTTACTACCGCCGCGCGCGCCGCCACACCGTCACGGGCTTCGGCAGGAAGCGCACGGCCCAGTACTGGACCGCGCCCTTCGCCGCCGCCGCCGCCCGCCCGCGGAGCAGCACGCGGGACCCGGCGACGACGACGCCGTCGCGCTTGCCGAGCGAGATCGCGCAGACGCTCGGCGGCGGCGCGTAGGGCTTCGGCGGCCGCCGGCCCCGGGCGTGCCGCGCGATGCACGCCGCGGCGTACTCGCCCTCCTCGGCGGCGTCGACGGCCGTGCGCTGCGCGGGCGGCTTGTCGGCGACGTCGCCGACGACGTACACGCGGCCGTCGAAGACCGCGTTCCCCGCGCCGTCCGCGAGCCGCCAGGAGTCGTCGACGGCGACCCAGCCGCGCGGGCCGACGCAGCCCGGCGGCAGGCCGTCGTCGCCGAACGCCGCCGACGGCCGCAGGCCGCGGCAGTCGAAGACGGCGTCGCCGCGGAGGTCGCGCGCCGCGCCCGCGGCGTCCCAGGCGCCGGCCGCCGGGATCGCGCCGTTGCCTGTGGACGCGAGGTCTTTGCGTGTTCAATCTTTGTGCGTTCAAAGGGTGGGATAAGCTACCGCGGCTCGTCCGGGGGAGCTCCGCGGCCCGGAGCGTAGCGCGTCAGCGCGTCAGCGGGGGGCGCGGAGCGAGTCTTTGTGCGAAGGGTGGGATAAGCTACCGCGGCTCGTCCGGGGGAG